ATGTACCATGAACTGCGCCTACCAGATTGGACCACCCGGCTGAGTGCGACTAGAACCCGGATCACAACCGGTCCTCCATGGGCCGCTACTAACGACCACATCATATATATATATCCCCTATTATTATTATTATTATAAGTACCTCTAACTAATTAACTAATATCATATATAATTTCGCGAATCAATTTTCAGTCAACATAACAGTGTCTGTCTGTAATCGTGCATATATAGAGTTAATTGGAAGTATATATATCTAATCTCAACGTCCCTTTGTAACACAAATGTGAACTGATGCATATCTCCAAATTAAAGGACATTTAATTAATTAGAAGGCAATTAGATGTAATATGTTTTCATTAATCAAAGTAGCTAGATCATGTGATGTACGACTTGCAATCCGGCTCACTGCCTAATGAGGAATGAAATGATATGTGGCGCTCGAGTATTCGACTCTATCGGTGTGGGCACACTCTATTATGCCGAGATACGAACCGTAATATTGCACCCGCAAATACATCAATGTTGATATGATGGTTAGACTTCCATAAATGGTGAGTGAAATTCACCATGCTCCTACATTACTAGGGATGCAAATGAGTCGAGCGGCTCACGAGTCGTTCTCGAGCGCTCGAGTCATTGCTCTACTCAAGCTCAAACATTTCAATTGAGCAAACGAGTCGAGCCTTGAGCATCATTTCAAAACTTTTTATTTATATAAATACCTCATATAGCTAGGCATATAGTTTAATTATCAATAATTAAAACCAGGGTCAAAATTGTCTATTTAGATTAAAAGTAGTACTTTATATTTAAAATTTAGTTGTTAAAATTTCGAGTTGAGCTCGAGCATTCTTATTTTTTCACGAGTCCAGCCGAGAGCCATTTTACATGGCTCGTCAAGCTCGAGCAGTGAAGAACAAAGTTTGAATTGCGCTCGACAAGGTCCATGCTTGATTCAACTCGTTTGCAGCCTTAAGTGCTTAAAAAAAAAGGAAAATAATAAGCATATAATTTAGGAGAATGCTACCATCCCGTAACGGGATGGTTCCGTTGTATTTTTTAAGCTTATATTATTTACAGATTACTAGATTACATATATATCTATGACTACAAGATACATCGAAATCATCCCGTAATATGATGGTAGCATTTCTTTATATGTTTAAGAAAAAACCAAAAAAAAA